AGGGATTTCAGGAAGATGTGGCAGCTGCTGAGACTAGATGTGGGTAGGGGTCTAAGGAAGTTGTAGGAATTTAAGGGTGGGGGCGAGGGCTTGCAGCATGGCTTGCAGGAACAGAAGTTCTGTGAGATAGGCACACATTATAACAATTGAAATGGCCCGTTAAATCGGCACATACAGAACATGAAGGCGGCACTTTGGTTAGTTTATTACATAGACCAGAGTGGTTCTGTGTTTTCCACAAGATCCAGAGATTGATCCAAGTATCACAAAAATTAAATAAAATTTTAAGAAACAGAGAACATAATTCTACCTAGAAGAGTAAAGGCACTCCTCTAATGTTATCTTTGTCTTTCTAGGAGACAGGAGTGACAAGAACTGCAACAGGAACTATGACCCTGGCAACTAAGAGATGGAAGGACGCTGGCATGAGGGAAGGACATTTCAGTTATGCCCTCTCCTGCAAGCCCTGTCCTGACCGCTGCTCACTCTCCTGTGGCAAGGCCTTGGGTCCCTGCCACTGTCCCTTGTCCTGCTGGACTACGTTCATCCCAGTGACCCATCATGAGCTTGTGTTTCATTCAGCACAAGGGCAAAGGCTGACACCTTAGAGCCTGTGGCTGCTTGAAAATCTGGACCTTCCACCACAGCTGAACCACGCTCCTAGGTCAGCCTTGAAATGGCTTGCACACCAGGTCACAAGCTCACTTGGTGATGCACACTCCAGGGGAAGCTACGCAGACCTCAGATGGATCTGGATTGGAATGTGGGTCCTGCCACTTAATTTCCTCTGCTGTAAACTGTGGATATCACCCAGGTGAAGATTCAGTGGCTTAAACTCCTGTGTGCTTGCTCATAGTGGCAGGACTTAGCGAATCATAAGATTTTGGGTTTTAGTTATTCTTTAACAAAAACACTGGAAGGGTAGAAAAATACTTTCATCACCCTATCCCTTAGTTCCTTAGCACCAACAATGTGTTTTTTTCCCTTAGAGGGATTCATCAATTATTTAAGGCTTTATATGCTGCGGTGCTATTTATTTTAATGAATAATCTTTTTT